TGTTCTGGCCACCGGCTCCACGCTGGCGCCACCCCTGGCTCAGAGAAGGACTTTCACAGATGGACGTTCTGTCTACCTCAACCCCACCATGTGTATTTAACGTTGAAGATTTTCGTATTTTTAACAAACAGTATTTATTTGTCAAAATTATTCGTTATGGTTTTAATGTTTTGTTTTTTTTTTTAATTTATTTAAAACGTGTTCTTTTATCATTTATTCGTTTCATCTGTTTCTAACGTCCTTTGAATATTATCGGACATAAATTATTTTTGTATTCATGTAGATGTAATTTTTTCTAGCGTAGTGATGTTTTTTAAAGTATGTATTTTTTATGTTTTTAAATTTATCTAGCTCTCCATCTGAATGTACCATCATATTTACGTTCATTGTTTTGCATCTCGCCGTCTCCGTTCATACTCTCAAAACCTTCTTTCTGTCACCAAATACCAAACCTACGGTCAATCTTCTGCCTTTTTTTTTTTTAAATAGCTTTCAAATAACAACTTCTTTCAACCATTTGTTCCAACTATATTTGTCAAAGGCGCAGTTTACCCTTAGAGGTTGTTAAATAAAAATGTTTTTAAGTTAACTTTAAATGAAACTAAATTTAATATTATATATTTAATATAGGGACACCCCTATTTAGGGGACGGGGACACTTTCTGAGTGTGGCAAATGGTCAAATCAATACAATTAACTCCTATTATGGGGACACTTTTTTCACTGTACCAAAACAACTACAGTAGCCTAAAAATTCATTCAAATAAAATCAACACCTTTTCAGCAATAAACTTAATCAAGAAACCAGAATTGTTTCCTCTTAATATATAGAATGTCTACATTGGTATGTAGACCTAGTGCATGTGTTGTACTTCTTAAAATACAATATTTTAATTTTGACCATTAACCATGGAGATTTCTTGTTTAGTGTACCGGTACCGTACACCCTGTACCCTGATTTTTAAGTCGTTGTTCAGGCTATTCTATCTTGTAGGCCTATATCTAATAGAAAGCTCAATATTTAAAAAAACGAATATTTGGTCATTAACATTGCACTCGAATCATGAAACAATATCGAGAACAAGTATAACTTTTGCTGTATTAATTACATTTCTATTATTTCATATCATAAATGAATTACTTTTTTCATTGCAAATTATTATTAACTGTAATTCCAATATAACTCATTCCAAAAACCCTAGGCCTATTAAGAGGACAACAGAGTCAATTTGGGCTATGGTTTGAGTATAATTCCCTATTATTTGGGTAATTCTGTATCATTTTGGTCATCCGTATCATTTGGGTAAATGCGTAGGCCTATCATTTCATTAATTCCGTATCATTTGGGTAATTTTGGTTTTAAGTCCTCTTTTTGGTGCTGGAAATCCATCCCCATTAATACAAAGTCAACTACGCCTAATAATAAAGTATGCATATTATTCCAATAGCCTACCGTATAGGCCCTATTAGTTAAATAATTGGGATGGCTACGGTGTTAACATACAATGATGAATCACGAGATGTAAAAACAGCCGTAAATATTTTCATGATTCAACTATTTCCAGAGTTGGATGTCTTCACATTGTTATTTTGACTTGACATAACCTCGAGACAGGTCAGCCTGAAATGTATACCAGTATGTTTCTTCCTGATAAATATACAAATTAATGGTCACACAACAGAGGCTTTAATTATTTTCATGAATATATATACTGTATCACGGTGTTACTATAAAAACATTATCATATTATTCCAAATGCGTGTTAAATTTAATATATCGCGTAGAGTGATAATTACAATGGAGGAATTAATTAACGATTTGATCCACAATAATGATATGCAATTGCATGTCACTGAATTTTAATTAAAACTAGATTCGTCTGGCTGTTTCTTCCTCCTTAAAGCTGTGTTTGATGGAGAAAGTGAGGAAATTATGAAACATGCCGTTTTCATGTTTAAAGAGTACACGCCTTTTCCCACCCTATGTTTCCGAATGTTCATTTCCTGCACACTGCAACATGCATTTCTCGGTAAAAATAAACGCACAGCCTTGGTGTACAGCGAATGATCACGTCCACCCTTGATCAAATGCAAATGCCGTTTATTACCTTGTTTTGCAGAATCACTAATTATTTCAAACTGTATTATTCTTTGCATCCATGCAGCTGCCAACCGTTCTCGTTTACATAATCTCTGTTTTCGCTAAGCTCGCTCCTTCCATACAATGGCGTATCTAGGGATGCACGGCAGGGGCTTTCCCCCACCCACCCGTCGGGGACGAAAAACACAATTCGTCGGGGAAAAAAATAGGCCTATGTATTTTTTACATATTAGTATCTAAAATCTCTAAAATCGATTAAATAAGCCTTTGAAACCCCTAAATTGTTAAAATTTCGGGGGAATTCCCGACGACCACGCCCACATTGCTTTAGTGGGGGTAATCTGACCCCACGTCGGGGGAATCGGCCCCTCCGTCGGGGACCTCGACACCCCCGTCGGGAAAATCCTGGCGCCACCCTGATGCACGGACGGTGGGTGAGGGCTCCCAAAAAGAGTTTGCTTCCCCTAGTCACCCCTGCCCTTACCAGAAATTTTGGAAGTAAAAAATACGCTAATAAAAGTAGTTAAAAATCACCTCATACCACATTTTATTACCAGCTAGCGTCCCCTTATTTTATCATCGAGCCCTCCCGCTTCACCTTCACCCCCACCCCCTCCCCCACCCCTCCATTTCAACATCCCTTGATACGCCCACTTCCTGTGGGGGCAGTACACACAAAAACTAGTATCTGGTGACATGACTTCAACCTGATTTAATAAAGGTCAAGGCCACGATCTTTGCTTTGTTATTGTTTGTTTATGAGCCGTTGGAAATGAATTATACTCTGCCATACAATAATAACCGTGCGATGAACCGAAAACAACAAGAGTAAATTGAAAATGCCACAAATATTGGATCTAGGGATATAGGTCATTAACATTTCGGCCACTGTATTTATAAGTACAATTATGCCTTACCTCTTTGAAAAACAAACCATAATAAAAATTTAAAAAAAATAATGGTTTAGAAAATGCATACAAGATGAGCCCAACACCTCTTGTGGTTCTCATTTAAAAAAGGGGATCATATAGGTAATGAATCGATGACCAGAGAAAGGATATATAGATATATATATAGGAGGGAAGACCAGGAAGATTACTCTCTGCGGAAGCAGGGGCGGATCTGTGTTCAACTTTAGGGGGAGGGGTCAAAATGTTTCCAAAAAAAAAAAAAACCCCAAAAGAAAGGGGATCGCGGGTGCTTCCCGGGAAAATTTTGATTCCTAGATTTCGGGAAAAGAGCTTTCCCGACTTCTTCTGAGGTGACTTTTAAGTTCTTTAAAATTCAAGGCCCCCACCCCTCCTTGAGTAGTTGCATACATATTATTTTTTTTTTTATGAATTGATGAACCCCCTGACCCCCTCAGATCCGCCAATGAGAAACGTCCTTGAGAAAGACCATTCGTGAAAGCTAAAAGCCCGGAAATGTGCCAGATCCTACCGTTATATAGGCCTACTGTATATATTTTTTTCAATATACAAAAATTACTATGACAGAGGTGGCAAAGAATAACACAGGTTGCATCAATTTACGGAAGGTGCTTCAACTTTTCACCTGACAATACGTAATCTCCCTGTAGGCCGCCCTTACAAAGTTGCCCTAGATTAAGCGTGTAAATACAAATATCCTAGTGAAGCCTACCTCTCATATGTTATGAATTGTTGGTATGGGCCTCAACTCACGTTCAGTCATATTATTTATATTGTTTTCTGTCAAGAAAAATACGGTCCGGGCCAAAATTCGCCCGCCTCAAATTGTTGTCATACAAATTAGGCCTACTTGCCAAACATAGCCCGTGGGCTTTGCCGGGGGCCGGAACGTAGAATGTGATGGGCGGGCAGTGCGGGACTCATCCGATTGTGGCTGGGACAATCTTGACGTGAAAGCCGTACATCATTTCTACAGTAATTCCCAGGGAAGTGGATTATGTCCCGGTACACAGTATTAAATCTCATTTCAATATTATAGTTATGGAGCTTCTGAATGGACAATTGGTTTAAAATATAGAGTAACATGTTTATCCCATGAAATGGTTTGTCGTACAAAGAATCAATTGCCATCCAGAATCTGTTTTTAAATGTTAATTGTTACTATTATACCACTCCAGTGAAGTCATTGGCCGTATTCGACTGGTCGTTTACCACGCCCACCTGCGCAGCGGTAAAATCACTCATCGTATTAGACCAGTCGAATACGAAACTTGTAAATACTGTACTCGACAAAACAAAATGGCTGTATAGTTACCGCGATACACGTTGCGTAATCAAGATTGCTTCAACTTGCGGAAGTATGGGTTTTTTTCATTAAAAAAAAAAATTTTCATCCAGTTTTTGAATTCTGTTAACCTACAATAATTATTTTTTGACTCCATGTGGGTAAATATCATAATTTTTATTTTATGAAATTTAATCTAAGTTATATTGACGCAAATGTTGTTTATAAACTCACCAATCGGCCATGTATTTTTTTTTGGGCACTCTGATTTACGTTCATTTTCGTTGTCAACGAAGTCTATTTAACGAACCAGTCGAATGAAAATAATACTCAACGAAATGAACCAGTCAAATAAGCCCATTCTCATGGTAAGAAGATTATTGAAGCTCGTGATTGGGCGTTGATATTCCACGTGACAATAATAAATCGCTCCTTTGTGCTCGGCTGGCTATAATCAGCTGACAGAACACAGCTGATCAAGTCGGCCGAGCGTCTACAGTGCGTAAGAAAAAACAGGGCCACTGTAGAAAATCCATTCGAATTTTACTGTATCTGAATACAGCATCTTTTTGTGATGGAGACGGAGGTGCAAATTAAAAACCAGCATCTTTTAGGGATGGAGACGACGGAGGTGCAAATTAATAACCATGCGTTTTCGTTGAAAAACAAACGAGGATGGCTAGTTACATTTTGTACATTTTGCATCATCTTACCAGTTACGGGGATCCTTAGTAGCTTTGGTGTCATGTTAGTTGAGTTACAACGAGAGTACCCAGACCTCTCAGATACAAAAGCAGGTTTGTGTCTTTTCGTGTTGTTTTTTTTTTTATTTGTTTGTTTTTGTTTTTGTTTTTATTTTCTTATATGTTTATTCGAAAATTGATTGTTGTTGATGTTAATATCCATTATAAAAAGACTTGAATTTTAATGAATCGAGAAAGCAGCTGATAATATCTGACGGTATATCTCGACCTCTGGATACCCTTGATAACGTTCATTGTGCTGTACACAACAAATTATAGCCTATAAATTTATGTCAGGTAGGTCATTGTACTAGAAAGCTAAAACTATAATACAATAAAAAGTTAAACATACAAAGTACTGCATCATTCATTCCTGATGATGACATAATTAATGTCGAAATATTGAATCCCAACACGATGGCGTGTATTTTAATACTTGGAGTATTTATTATACTTTCTTATCAAAGTACTGCAGTTATTTCATTTTACCTCTAAATTAAACAAAAGGCAAACCCATTAAACGATTTGTATTATAGATCTATTTACATTTTGACGATCTTATCAAAGTGCTATCCGCCTCTCTGCTTGCCGGTGCATAGATAGGTCCAGATGTGTTTGATGTGATGAATTGCACCATGTTACAATTATGTTACACAATGAATGAGTCCTTTGTAGATCCATAAGTGGAATAACAACAATGAAGAGTCTTTACTTCTGAATGTGCCTGATGTTCATTTGATCATTATATTCAAATATAAATTATGATTATTTTTGTGATAAGAGCTTTATCGTTTTTGTAGATAATGGTAACAACAGAGGTCAATTGATTGACCAACGGCAGATCTAGCAAATATTGGTGGAAAACCGTAATAATGATGGACAATAAGGATAATTTATCTAAGACAAAAATAACTCCGATCCACTCCCAAGTTTCAATTATTTTTGAAATGGATATTCGTATGTCCAAATTAGTATTAGTATTTAGATACGCTATTCATAGAAAACTATATCATAGTTATAATTATATATAAATCCAATTTTATGTTTTCATATTTTGTAATGGTCTGGGCCACCATCTTGATTACATTCACTTAACAATCGCTAAGTGGACATTCCGAAGGTCGTTCTGCTATAACCATGGGAACAGCGTATTACTTTTGTCCATTCTACGGCAAAGAGATGATATTCATCAAGCCTCATTTAGTTACACACGAATACTTATCTAACTGTAGTCTACTGTGCTCCGTCACTGAATTGTTTAATTCGTATTTGTAGGCTTTTGTTTGTAAATTTTTGTTTTTCTTTACATTTTCGGACATTTTGAAGTAATTTAATTTGCATATTCAAAATGTCCGCCATCTCTAGTGTGGTCCATAACAATTTCAGAAATAAAAGCTTTTCTTGCAATTTGTTTCGTCAAACGACCTTTTTTAACCTATTTTCCGAAGATTATATATTAAGTCCATGCTGGTAGGCCTAGCACATACATCATCATAATTCCTCCACACAGCTTTAGCATTTTACGTAAAAGGTAATAGGTCAAGAATCAGTGCCGTTTCTTAGTGGTTCGTTAAAAATATGGGTAGCTGGTGGAATTCGTTAGATTTTGGTAGTACTTTATGGAAAGATGTTATTTGTTACATTTTTCATTGTTTAATTTCTTTAGCAGGACAGTTTCCTTGTTAGCTTGTGGTTTCAAAATTACGCAATAGGGTGTTCCCAAGAAATTGGCTCGTGTTTCGCAATAAAGTACAGTATATTGAACTTTTCCTTTTAGAATCTATTTAACACGATTGCCAAAGAGGATCAACGTTTCGTTTGAAGAAACATGGCCTTTAACCTGGACCCATGACATTGATTTCTTTCCTGTATGAGTTTTTTTGACATGCCATTGTTCACAAAACGATACTTCACTCCTCTGAGGAGAACGACATGCCTACTCATGGACATAAGCTTCTTTATCCTATAGTTAGAGCACGAAATTTCCACAATTTAATTCCATGCCCACAGGATAATAGCGAATTCGTTTTTGCACGGTTTTTGGTTTTAGGGCATCAAACCTGTGTCACGTTCAGGGTTTTAATTTGCATCAGATTAGAAATGAGCTATTACATTAATTTATCAACCTGCTGGTTGCACACTGGCAATCATGAATATATAATTTTAACGTTTTTAATTAAACTATATACAATATTCGCTCCCAATCAACCACTTTATTCTATGTTTTTACTTTTTACTTTCAGGGCTAAGGCATATGCCAATAACAATTTTTGACTATGTATTTTAAGTGTGGGTATAGATGGCAGTGTTTCACCAGACTTTATAGTAAAGCCTGCCCGGTGAATGTATCCCCGTGCAAAAAATTGGCATAGAAATGGAGACCTAATTTTAATTATGTATTTAAATGCAGAAATCATGATTCTGTGCACCTACTTTCATAGCGATCCTCGCAACTTTGAGCTAGTTTTTGAGGTACCGGTATCATAATAATTATGCGCAATTAAAAAAACATTACAGTATGGGTAGTGTATCTGGAGGGAGGTTTCTGTGGTATTTATAGAATATTTCGGTCAATTACCCAGTGTAAAACTATTATATATTAGCACAGAAACAGGCCTATACACGGGCCTTCGTAGATTTCGTCCCCCACCCTTCCCATTCACGGTGCTTTACGAATCCCGATTCACAGATTAGCATACAGAAAACATAATTCAACCGTCACCAAAGTTTATAGAAAGATCTCGAAGATCTGCGCCACAAGCGAAAACTTGATTTGTTAAAGTAGGTCATGTTATGGATTATACCAAGGAGGTACAGTATAAAAATAAGCCATGGCCTCGTAAACCAGCAACAAGAATTTATAACTTTGATTCATCCCGCTATGATATTTAATCCCTTTTTATGTTCATAAACTTAAAGAAAAAAAAACAGTTTTTAGGAGTGAATTACAATAATAAGCAAAAAACTATCTATTTAATTACTGTTGAGGTTTTCAGTTTTACATGAAACTGAAACATTTTCATTGTGCACATTGGCGTTGAGGAAATTGCGTTTATACTCGCAATGATATCAATACAAGGCCAGCGGTGTTTCGGAACTGGTTACGTCGCATAAATCCCATTTTCACGCTTCCACTTCGTGAACGTATCCACCCATTGTTGTTAGTAATTCATTATGGTATTGTGTGTGAGCAGCAGCAGATTCATTATTCTTAAAACGAGTTTCCGTATAGCATGGCTGTCTGCGGTTAGTGTTCGAATGATGATGCAATAATCAAGGGTGATGCAATGCATAAACACAGAATTAATTACGAGCAAAGAGTACAAACAAGGGTCAAACAAGGGTCAATATTTTAATAAATAAAAATGCTATTAAAGAACCATCTGATTTTGATGCCAAATAGGCCTGCATATTACTTAGTACCTGGATAAATATATAAATAAAATAAATAAATAATAAACTTTGTTCCTCTTCCACTCCTGAATTTGTTTTTTTCCAGGTCGCCTTCTTTGTTAAAAATTTATAGAAAACCCTGAAAATCCTGCAAAAATGTGAAATGGGTGTCCTTTTTTTTCAGAGAAAAAAATAGGACCTCATAGATACATTAATTCTCCTTTTGTTAATTCAATCAACTTTTTTTTCATTAATAATTTTTTTACCTCAATTCAACATGGTTGGCGGCTTACTGAAGCCAGAATAAAATCTTAAATAAAAAATATTCAATGTGTTTTTAGTTTTGACAAGAGAGCAAAATCTTACGTCTTACCATGGAAGAATTCTTACAATCGCTAAGAACATTAACACGCAAAATAATTGCCACAGCAATATTTCGGAAGCATCCGATTCTCACTTATTATTTCGGAACAAACATATCAATACAAAACTGAACTAGAGTTCATTTCAGGAAAGCGATTTATTGAAACGGATAATCGCGAGCAAATCAACTGTTATTATTGTATTTCCATAGTTGATGTGAACGACACAGATTGATTGTGTATAATTTACTTGTGTTTACTTGAAGTTATGTTTATTTTATTAAGTTGTTCTCCTGCTAAATGACACTGACACCAAGCTGGAAGTCAGAACCAATGCCAAAACGAATTGCATTTAGATAAACCCAGGATGAACCTAATCGTTTTTCAATGCACAATTGATTCTTGTTTCCTTATTATGACGTTGTTTGGCCAAAATTCGGTATTGTTTACTAGGCCTACAGTGATGTAACAAACTGATGACGTTGAGGACGTCATAGACGACTAGACGTTTTCCATCCGTTTAAATGTGAATGACTTCTGTTGATTACTACTTTTTACCTCCCTTCTTTTACATTGATGTAGAGGCATAGGCATCAGAGCGGCTGTGAAATTACTATTTGACGTATTTTCTAACATTTATGAATCTATATAATACATTGCTATAGTTATATATGCTTATGGGAGATCAATAAAAACATTAGTCAAGAAAAATCGTTGTACCTATGGCAAACCATGGTAGAACTATAAAAAAAAATGTGTCCCATCTGTCTTTAAAATATCGTCGCTCACATCACGAACTAACACACCCAAAGTAGATTTTGTTAGTTCGTGAAATCAAGAAAGCCCGTCAAAATACGCGCTGTTGTTGTTAAGGACTTTTTGTGTGGTAAAGAATACAAAATTGCTTGACAACCAATACGCGCTCATTTTGACGCGCTACTGTGATTTCACGAACTAACACAATCTACTTTGATTGTGTTAGTTCGTGATGTGAACGACGATATATAGGTCTACCTCTTCATTAGCCCTTGTTCAATATACGATGGACATGGGTTTCCTACACAGCAATAATAACTTTTTGTTATTCCTTATTTGGTATAATCGAGCGAGTATAACCAACGACAGTTTAACCAAACATGGTGCATTAAAAAAATAAATAAAACAATAATTAAATCTTTGTTGAGTGGTGAACAAATTGTTAATGAGATTGATCACAGTAATAGACATTCACATTTCCTCTTTGTCTTTGCTAATTGTACAGACAGAAAACAACATATCAGGTGGCTAAAACATTATAGGAATAATTAAGCCTGAAAATATTAAAATCAGAACAAAGAGAAAAAGTAACATTTCAGATCACTAAGTCATGTTAGACTACACGGGATCAGGAACAATTACATTATCCAGAAGAGGCTGAATGAGGGTGTCCAGAAACAGGTCAATGGATACAAAGTAGGCCTACATAATCAGCCTTAGTTTGTAATTTAAAAAAATGTTGTTTTTCAATGAAAGTGTTTATTTTGCCGGCTATTCCAATACTACAGTATGATATTTAAAAACTGGGTTGAAAGCGGGAGTAACCACCCCTTTTCAACTTTGTCCCTGTATCTTATTAACCGTTTCCGAGTTTTTCGTCAAATATGGCTTCACAGTTCCACATATCAAAACAATTTTTCCTCCGGAGCCTGGCTTTAATTGGTTGGGTGTAAGTGCTCCCCACTCGAATAGTCGTCAAGCTGTTTGAATGAATTGCGTCCGACCGGATAAATATACAGCATTTCTATAAAGAAAATCAGGCCATATCAGTACCAGTACATTCTCTAATCAATATATACTCAATCAGGTTATGAGGTTGGATTTATTTTCATCGGTGTATCATTAATGCACCAGATTTTATTGAAATACCAAGGATATTCTCATGAAATTATTTCCAGTGATATCCCCCGGATTTTCGTGCAAGGACAATGTGAACCTGAACACCGCCGGGGTAACTTCCGATAGTCTGATTTTTCGAAGGATGCTCTGAGTTGTTTTGGATCGTAATCAAAGATCGTAAGAGAAAAAAACCCTGTTTCTACCTCCTGAAATGAACGCTTTGATCATGGGTTTCCGCAGTTGATCTTGAACACCAATGAAGATACAGCGTACTTTAATTGTTGTTTCGAATTCGATAGGTTTATTACAGTTTGTGTCCATTGTGGCCTAAATAAATGCAGATAGCAGAACATTTTGGACAAGTATTTTTATTTATTTAAAAAAAAATTTACGTAACCACTTGGTTTACATTACTAGGGATACAACCATAGATTTAAAAACCGAAAGGTCCACTGATTAATCTCAGATAAGAAAGTATAATACATACTCCAAGTATTGAAATACACGCCATCGTGTTGGGATTCAATATTTCGACATTAATTATGTCATCATCATCAGGAATGATGATGATGATGACATAATTAATGTCGAAATATTGAATCCCAACACGATGGCGTGTATTTCAATACTTGGAGTATGTATTATACTTTCTTACCATAGATTTACTTCCGGCGATCCAATAACACTGTCAATGCGGAATGGAATTTTCCAATGACCTTTAACCCTTATAAAACACATTAAAAATTCATTTCTTTATCTACAGATCTCAGATTCATCCGCCGACAGTACCCTAAACCTCAATTCGCCTGTTTCATCACACATTATTTAACGTTCGTGCACGTCACTCATAATATATTCGTTATTATTCGTTTAAATATTCTGAATTATACTCTTTGATATACCGTATGATAGGCCTATTCTTGTTTAGCTATGAATGTTTATGCTTAATGATCTTCATAATAAATATTATGATAATTACTTACGGTATATCAATAATAGTTGTTAAAGTGTCATTATTCTTTAGCGTTATTAGTGATATTATTAGTAGGATTGTTATTATTAATCTTATTAATATTATTATTCAATTACACAAGGAAGATATATAGTTCAGTATTTCATTGTGAATATCACTCTGTAAATTAAGGTTTTAGGCTAACTATATAATCATTTTAAAGAGTAGGAATAAAATTGTCTTCAATCATCTTTAATTATTGCCAAAACCCTGCTTTCCTTAATACGACAGTCATTAACGATATGATCAATCAAAAATAATAGTAATCTAATAATAATAACAATGTGAGATGTTTCATTAGCGGGTGAAAACATTTTCTTATTATTAAATAAGTGTGGAAAATAATATGGCAGTTCTTCTAAATGCGCACGCGCACAAATCTGCCGTGCCACCAATACGTACGTATCTGTAAAAAAATTAAACGGGTAGCACCTTCAATGCCGTAATCATGTATAATTGTGTGGGACAGTCCTACACAATTAAAAATAAAAATGAGTCCAAATTATTATGCAATTTCATGCATAAATTGAGTCCACTTTATGAAAAATGGGTCCAGATTTCTCATATTTAGCCTAAAATGGGTAAAATTTTAAGAAAATGGGTCCAGATTTTTTTATATTTTTGCGAAAAACGGGTCAACTTTTAAGAAACTGGGTCCATATTATTTGAATTTACGTGTAAAGTGAGAGTTCACCGTGATATCGTCCCGCACTGCTTAAAAATCTTGGCTACGGCATCGAGCACCTTGTTTAGACCACTATTTTATACCTCCATGTTTTGACTAACGATTTTTATTTTATGAAATGAGCTTTCAAAAAAAGCAAAATTTAATATTACGTTTTTTTTTTTTCTTCTTCTTTTGCAGGATGGATAGGTTCTTTAGCGTTCGGTATTATGTTCGGATCATCTCCATTATCAACGGGTCTCTTCAAACGCTACAGTCATCGGATAGTTGCAACTGTCGGAGTGTTAATGTGCTGTGCTGGTCTGGTTGCCTCATCGTTCGCACACAATGTAAATTTTCTCTTCGTCTCATATAGTCTTGTTTTCGGAATCGGCAGCAATTTTGTAGACAATACATCCCTTCATTTAATTGGACTACATTTCCCGAGAAAAAATAGCGCCAGGGCGACATGTTTTGCTACTCTGGGATGGAGTGTAGGTCAGTATAAACCTAATTTTTAACCTCATGGTTTTGTCAGATAACATTTGTGAATACGTTTTTCCAACGTGTTTCTGTGTTTTGTTTTCCTGGTGTCTTCCTCTGTGTGTTGACTAACACACGCACTGAAGATTTACAGTTCGTCGTGCGTACCAGCGTGACCACTCACAATTTTTGATATACCCAATGACTGGGTCGAAATTACCCAAGATTCAGCAAAAATTGCAAAAAATTACCCAAGCTTTCTGAAAATGCATTAAAATTTGAAAAAAAACCCCGTGTTTTTCGCATGTATAGTTTCCCTTTTAGTGCAATTTATAAACCATTTTTTATCATAATTGTTTGTGTATTTATTAAAATTAATATTCATGAGGTGATAATACAGATAGAAAGATACGCCCTCAGTCGGCCAGTGTTATCAGTAGATCAGTGATCAAGTTTTATTATGTAATGCATTAATTAGGTAAGATCAATGGCAACGCAAATCACAAATAAACAATTCTGAACCCATGTTTATAGCAATTAACAGTCAATTAATGTTATGTGCACTTCGTTAAGTTTTGCTTCCTTGAATGGACTGACATATTTTGTTACTTCTTAATTCTTCCTCTATGACAAAAATATTTAATTTTCTTAGTAAAAATAAAATACCCAAGGATTTAAACGGAATACCCAAGAACACAAGACCAAGTCAAAATACCCAAGATCTTGGGTAAATACCCAAGCAGTGGTCACACTGGTGCGTACGGTATGGATGGTGAAATGGTGCGCGTAAGTCTAGGTCGTGTTGGATCACAACCAATCATATGGCGGAGGACACGGTTGATAAAATTGTCGACGGGAACATAGATCGATAAAATGTGGGCTCGTCAATGAGTACGATATGCCCCGTTACCACGTTGAATACAGTATAGGGAAAACACAAACTGGAGGAATGGGTCATGTTTTCGTTATGCAAACAAGGTCGGGTGATCGACTTATACGCGATTATGACCGAAATTTGTTAGAGCTTATTGCCTCCTGTTTTAGACCTATCTGCCGTGGTATCCTTTAATAGTGTTGTTGTTTTGGCTTAATCGGAATCATATAGAAGTTGTTATACATTTTGTGTTGATTAATGGTGTGTTGCAATATCAGCCTTACACTATGTCAACCTCCCGAATTGATACGCTTCATCAAAATAATGCGTCATCAATTATTGAATATAAAAGAACGTCATGATTGATAACAATTATCTAAGTTGAATAGTCCACATCAAAGTTCGCAAGCGATTAATATGCCTACTCACAACTTTTTCAATTCAATTCAATCGTTTATTATACTTAGGCCTATGCTTTTTTTTTTTCGCTTTTCTGCTTAATTTTTTAAGCGAGTGCCTTTATAAAGAAATGTTCCCTTGACATTGAACTGCCGAATCATTTGTACTGTTTGCTATTTTCAATACAATGGCCTGGCTATGTTTATTTTATAATGATCGTGCGCCAGGCTTGGGATACAGCGCATATTCTGTGCCTTTTAGAATGCACCCGCTAATGTTTTGACCTGAATCAATCGCTGTTTACTTTGGAAAGGGTAGGCACACTATTATATGCAGATTTGAAATACAGTACAACTGAAATACTAATATTTACATCTCTCGATAATAATGCACTGTTGAAAACAAAGTTAATACGAGCCGTCAATAATACCAACATCACGTGAACCCGGGGCATAACATGCACTTGTTTTTATGGCCGTTGCTCTCCCTGTGATAAGCCAGGGTCGTGAGAGCGTTTTCTGATACCGTGGGTCCACCGATTGCAATATATTGCACAATATTTATTGCCACGAAAATAGATTAAGCCTATGACAAAATATAGCATCTACTCGTGCCAGCCATAAATTCTTACGTGCTTTTTGGATATTGGTATTGTGGTTCCACAAAATAGTAGCGTAAGCGTAGGCCTACATAAAGTCGGTTTTTCACTAGGCGAATTTATTCGTGCGAATTAACCGACGCTTCCATTCGCGCGAACAAATTCGCCTAGTGGAAAACCAACTTAAGCACGTGCGTATTGAGGAAATTTCTGATTGCTTAGTTGTAAATTTTGATTCACACTCTGGAAGCTCCGTTGAAGTTCCAATGCACCTTCATTAATTGTGAGGGTTGTCCACTCATATTGTACTTAATACGGTACTTGACCAAACATGATTATAGCATAATCTTATGAAACAATTAACAATTAAAACGATTAATTAAAACTTGGTCTGGAAAAGGTTCTCTATTAAAACATTAGAAATTGAATTATATAGTGTTGTTAAATTTCTTTTCCTCATATGGTAACACATTCTGGATAAACATTCATGTTTTTTTGTTTTATTTTTTTCAAGTAGGACCTACGTGCTCAACATTATTCGTTACATTGAAGGTTCGCATTTAATGTTTAGTTCAAAAAAGGTGCCACTGATGCGAATTTTTTTTTTGTCACCTTGACCAAATGTATATAATTAATAATAATAAAAAAGTTGTTCGGTCCCGTGGACTAACCTTGTCCATGGGTGTATAAAGTGCAATGATGAATAATAAATATACCTAAATTATTCATATTTAACTCGTTAAGCCGTGAAACAGGTATTGAACATGATATGGAGAGTCAGGTGTTGTGAACGTAGTAAACAAGACTAACAATAAAATAGCTTGTTGGATTCGTTCGTTTAGCCATATAAATTATAATAGTAGAATGTGCTTTATCTATTTATAATTAACAATAATTAATAAGTTTATAGCAATAAACCAGACACCTTTCAAATTAGGCAATAACTGTTGACATAATTATGTAATGTCAGCCGCCAAACCGCGTCCGCGTGGTTCGTTTCGATTCAGCGATTTATTACTCTTGTCGAACTTCTTCACGCTTGGACTTGTAAGTGCAATTAAACTTGTGAAGTTGAAGGGGGCTTTCATTACTATAGGATATAGTTCACCTTTTCCTGTGTGAAATGAATCAATTTTACAAACAAGTGTTTGTAATCAAGATCCATTCGCATTGTGTTGAAACGCAGTTCTTCGAAAGTGAAATTAAATTTATCTACGCAATATGATGGGATGAATATGATGGTGGTAAAATGTATTACGAAACTTCCAATATTACAAATTTTGTTAAATTCGTGAAAGACAGATATTAGTAAGTAAAAGGTGTTTTCATGAAAATCCCCCTGGAATTATCAACTGCCTTGAGGAATAAACCGTCATTAGTCAGACGCCCGACTAATTATCAGACCCCGGGTCAGACGTCTCTAACAATAATTCCCCAACATGTTGGCTGACGTGGAAATAATGTATAGTATCGCTGTGTAAATAGTCAGTTAGGGTAAATGAAAAACAATTTCAGGGGAATTCATTTCTCGCCTGCTGTAAACACGATTATGTAAATTTACAATAAATGTAAGTTTAACTTAAAAGAGCTAGGACTATATAAATTATTATTGATATGTAAGAATCCAGATGACTAATAATAATAATAATAATAATAATAATAATAAATTATTATTATTATTATTAGGCCTGCTAATTCCCCCCAGTTTCCTTCCCCCTCCCCCCCCCAAAAAAAAAAAATAAATAAATAAAAGAAAACCACAATTCGTCGGGGAGAAAAACGTATTTACATATTAATAGACTATAAAATCGGTTTAATAAACCTCTCAAACCCTTACATTGTCATATCTTTCTGGGGCTTCGCACCCTGGACCTTTTTCCAGACATTTTGAGCGACACCCGACCACGCCCACTTCGGGCCACCAAAGCATATCTCCCCCCACAAACTTTTATCTTTCCCCTCACTTGCCCCCCCAAGATTTCAGACGCTGGCGCCGCCACTGTTTGCAGGAATTGTAAAACGACGTTACCACCTCGACTGTGTTATAATACCTATGTTTAATAAACAAATAAATCATTATTTTTGTTTTTTATTTTTTTTTAAATATTTTTAGGTGCTCTTTCAATGAATCCGATGGCTGAGATTCTCTGTCAAAAGTATGGTTGGCGATGGACTTACAGAGTGTTTGCCGCATTTACGTTGGTAGTCGGACTTGCTGTTATTACGTTCGAGCCTAGAACTGTTCACACTTTTACAGCTCTTAAAGAGGAGTGCTATAAGGAACCTGTAGATAAGAAACCTGAGTTAGAAGTTATGGTCATATCGTCCGGAGAAGAGAAAAAACAGGTGCTGCTTAAACGCAAGAACCATCAGACGACAACAGAATACATTAAACTTTTCATGAAAGCGCTGCAAGCGCCTGGAATCTTGCTTTGGTTTTTTGGCAATATCTCGTTAAATCTTTCGCTCATATTTCCATTCGTTAACATGGTATGTATTAAGCTATAAACGTACAGTACATTAATTTGCATCATTGTATGTTTGTATAGGCCTATTATGTACCGTAATATTGTGGCCTACTTTCAATGGTAACACCATAAATGTAAGTATAAAAGAAAGAGTATTAATGCAAGTGACCTTACGCAAGATATAATTTTATTTTCTTTCAAGAAATGAAATAAGTGGATTTCGTAGTTCAATGAACCCTATATGCTAATATTAATTACCAAGGTCTAATTAATTTGGATATAGTTTACTTGGATGTTCAAGATGTAATTAGGAAATTCCGATTCGTAATGGACCCAATTTAAATGATTGATTTTCTGTGAATTTATGTGGAATTCCTTTTGTACTTTTAAAGCCAAGAATTGTTGTCTGCATTTATGGCCAAGTAATTGTAACCGACTTGAGTCCCATGGAAATTAAACAATATTTTGAAACAGTCGTATACAAATTACAACTTCCGATATGTGCTAATATTTGATGAAATATGAATTAGGCTTGCTCTACCTGATAAAACAACCACATACATAGTGTATTTAGCTGTCTCTTATACACATCTAGATGTGTATAAGAGACAGCATTCA